ATGTTTGTGATAAAAGGCCTTTGATGCCATAAATTGATGACTGCTTTTTAGCTTCTTTGAGGTCAAGGGTTTCGAGTCGACAGCGGTAATTCCCAATTTCTCTATAATCCTTTTATCGAATTTCAGTGTCAATTTCAATTTCAACTTTTTATGATTTATTTTGAGAATAAAGATTCAATTTTAATTGCAGATCAGAAAAAGGCGATTTTTATATCAGCTGTTCAATCGATTTCAGGTTTAATTTCTCTTCCGATTTCTAATAAAAACAATTTTTTAATTTTCCCTTTACCTCCCGATTTGCATATAATCATTGAATTTGTCGATCTAGCATATATGTAATATAGAAAACTTGAAAGAAAATTATGTGTCTGTGCGCGCGGGGGGTGGTGTGGGTGTGTTCGCGCACAATCTCTCTGTGTGTGTGTGTGTGTGTTAAGAGGTCTCTGTGTGTGTTTGTATGTTCCTGTGTCTCTGTGTTCGACTCTGTGTGTGTGTCTGTGTGTTAAGAGGTGTATCCACTGCCTTTAGATACTGAATTAACCCTTTGTTGTCATTCCAAAGTACCCTTTATTTCTAATAAATCTTTTCTTGAAAAATCTGTTGATTTGTTTTTGTTTCACTAAGTACTGGGGACCAAATTTCAGCTGTAAATTGCTCAAAGAGGACATCTTGATGTTGCTGAACAAACTTTTTATCTAACTTTGAAGCAATTGTTTACTACTATGCACATGCTTGGAATTTCATGTCTTAGTCCGGTTCCCAAAAGCTTCATTTCTTTTAATGACGGTAGTGTCTAGGCAGCTTGCGCACATCTTTACTATTCCTCTGGATACTTGCTGCCACCGATATAGGTACTGGGGTAACATTGTCCCTCAAGGCTTAAACAAATGAGAAGAAATCACCTGGCATTTTTTTTCTCTCCACTGTAATTTGGTTCCCGAAAGCTTATTTCCTGGTACCTGATTTAATTAAAGGAAATTCTAACAAGGCTTCAAAATGTGGTTCAACAATTTGAGTCATTCCGTTGCACTTTTTCCAATGTCTTGCTGTAGGATTATTGAAAAGTCGAATGTTCTTCAAAGTCTCAATTAGTGTAGTTTTCAACTTGCATTCAGGGAATATGGAGCAAATTTATACTTGCAATTATAACTCTAAGCTAGAACTCTCAACATGCTGCATTATTATGTTTTCTTCAGAGAAAACGAAAGGAAGAAACACAAGCATGGACATGTTTTATGTGTGAAATCACTCTGGATATATAACTATTTCTTTGCAAATATAGCACTGTGTTAGGTTTCTGCTGCTATCTCGGTGCAATGAGCTATAGTAACTTAAAAACTCATTGTTTGGTCAATCAAAGGGAATTAATTAAGATGGGATATTGAATAGCTGAGTGCTCACACTTCTTGTTAGTAATTTGTTTTTGACTTCTTGCAGCTGACTTGTGTTTTTGAATGCACTTTACAGTAACTTGAGCTATGGGAAAGAGGAAGTCAAAGTCAAAGCCACCTCCAAAGAAGAGGATGGACAAACTTGATACTGTTTTCAGCTGTCCTTTCTGTAGTCATGGCACCAGCGTGGAATGTCGCATGTAAGTTAATTTTAAAGCACTCTCATGTCCAAGTTTTTTCTTGTGTAGGCATGGGATAGATTGAGCTTTTCCCTCTGCACCTGCTCACCACTTTAGACATTGTTAGATGCAGATGGTAACTCCTAAAATAGTCCCTTTAGATTATGTCATTCCCTTCCCCCTTCTTCCAACAGCCAAAAAATCAATAAATAAATGTAAGGAGTGGAATACATTTTATCATCCAGCTTTATAAATGCCGTACCTGCTAGTTTTTACATGGAAGTGTTCAGTTGCATCTCTCGGTGTATTTAAAAAAATTCAACTGATCATGAAAAACATGCATTACTTCTCATTCTTGATCAGCAATTAATATATCTTTTGATTGCTTTTTGCTCATTCTTATGACAAGTTTGTCTTTCCTGATATTCAGTGATATGAAAAACTTGATTGGCGAGGCGAATTGCAGGATCTGCCAAGAGAGCTTCAGCACCACAGTCACTGGTATATCACATTTGGTTTCTCGTGTATCTCTTAATTTATTTATGCTTATGTTTTGTTATGTTACTTGATTAGATGATTAAAATCACTGGGCTGAAAAATATAACTAGTAACCTACTACTTCCATGAAAACTTAGTCAGAGAATCGGGACTAACTTATAAGACTTTATCGATGTGTTTAATGAATGAGTATCTTCAAGTTTACTTACAGACTGTGAACTGAAGGATCTGCTTTCTGTGAGATAAACTGCAAATTGTATGTGCTTATGTTATACTGAGTTTATGTTGGCAAAAGATGTTGCTCTTTGCCTTCATTTGTCTTAATCTTTATCCTTTTAATGTCTCATTTAAGACCTGCACACATAAGTATAGCTTCCTAACAAATTGAACATTCAATTTATGTCGGAAATTTTTGTTTGGATGTACTGGGTTGGCTAACAATTTGTGTTTTTCTCCTTGCAGCACTAACAGAGCCTATTGATATGTAAGTGCACCTAACCTGGCCTTTGATTTCTTTCAGTGGTGGATGTAGTATGTTAGCCGTGGGTGTGGCAACCCGCTCTACCTTCAGCTTGAAATTATATAGAGTTGAACCATTTTAAGTAGTACATATTATTATACTAAATTCGCACGAGACTTACTGTAAATTCTAAATCGGCTTCTGTTATTCTTTCCTCTTCTCAGATACAGTGAATGGATTGACGAGTGTGAACGAGTCAACAACTACGAAGAAGATGATGTTTCCTACAAGTTAGATCCTAATGAATGATCTGCTTCAAGAATGTGCAGACTGTTGAGTAGCCAGAAATGACTCAAAGCTGCCTTAAGCTATGACTTCAGTTCTAGCAATTATTCCGTCGCACTGCCTAAGAAGAACCTAAACTTATCCAGGCCTCTGGAGTTCAATAAGTAGCTTCATTTAAGAGGCTTTCTATGTCCAAATAGTTTGAAACAGAGTCAGTTGCTATCTTGTTTATGTTTTGCTCCTGCAATTATGGGAACCTAATGTCAAGTAGGTGGTTTATTCCTCCTATTACATGATGCCTAGGTACATGTTAAGCCCTTCATTACCCTTAGTAAGGGATGTAAATGGATACCGCTTCTGAAATGTTCCTTATATATGTGAATAAATAATCTTTTTAAAGAAACAATCAACAACCTAGTAAAATTCTACAAGTGGGGATAGAAACAACGTAACATGACCGTTTGAAACGAGAATTAATTATTTGTAGCTTATAGTCAGATTCCCCTATATCTTTGAACAACAGGCTTAACAAATAATGAAGGGAGTGTATTGAAGGAAATTTGCAAGAAACAGGCTTAGCATATTAATAGCCCGACTGAAAAAGTTTGAACCCTAAAATCTAACTTTTGCAATCATTTAGCAGTAGTATTAGAAGCTTGAGTCGTTTGGTAGCTGGTTACAGGGTTAATTATTCATGTATTAGGAGTAACATAACCAGTACCATGTTTAGTACTCCTACTAGCTTTTAGTAACTTTGGACAAAAGTCAGCATAACAAACTAGTGTTATGTTTGGTTGCTTTTTTCATCGGGGGTGTAAGTAATACATGGATAAGTTGTACATTAAGAGAGTCGTTTGGTATGAGGTATAAGAGTGGATAAAAATTTAATACCACCTTAATATTCTGTTTGGTTAGCAAATTAGATATAAGTTATTTCGGTGTTAATTTTAACACTGGGATAACTTATACCTTATAGAAGGTGGGGTAATTAGCACCGGTATAACTTATACCTTCTGCTTAGAAATTATGCAATTGTCATTCTTAATACAACATACCAAACAATGAATAAACAATAATCTCAGCATAACTAATCTCAGCATAACTTATCCCAATATAACTTAAACCGGCATAATTTATATCGGTATAAATTGTATTCCAACCAAACGAGCCCTAAATCTATGTATTATTTATGCAAGGTAGAATGTGGAATAACTAATATATGTATTAGTAATGTATGGATTAAGCAATCAATTGACCAAAGCCCTCATATTTATTTTAAATTATACATTTTACAATTAAAATAAAGTAAATATTTAACAAAAAATAATATGTACATTAAAATCTATAAATTTTTAATCCATGCATTACTAATCCTTACACAACTAATCCCTTCCTAATTAAATCATGCATAACAAAATCCTGTATAACTAATCCCTACATAGCTAGTTCATGTATAATTAATTCTTACATACATTACTAATACCTGCATAACTCTAACCAGCAACCAAACGAGCTTATGCACTGCCAAAGTCCTATACAAGGACAAAAAAAAGTCCAGTACAAGGACTAAGATTAGACCAAACTCTTATGCTGAACATGGTTATAAAGCTAACCAAATAACCATTCAAGATAGGCGTAAAATCAAATATATATGGATTAATATTAGAATTTAAAATCTAGACATCGGTGTTGTTTTCAGAAGAAAAAGAAAACGAATTGTCTTCTACTTCAAACATCATCTTCAAATGTAGCCATCATCATCTATAGAACGGTAAACCATTCCTCCACCATTTCTAAAACCTCAGTTAGTTGTAAGTACACTATCATCTATTTCCTTTCTTTTATGAGTAAAGAAGAGTTCTCTTTCTTTTTCAGAAATCTATTTATCTAACTACCTACATTTTAATAACATCAAATATACACTGCATACACATAATGTTTGGGTGCCGAGAGTCTATCGCAAACCGCCAGCCTCTCTACCTTCACAACACAAGTATCTGATAACTCCGTCCACTAAGACTCAAACTACTGGAAAGAAATCACATAATTTATTTCGAACTAAATAAAGTTCTGTCTAGGTTAAAAGGAGAATCTCTTTCCATTTGAGTGTGTGCCTACCTGCATAGTTGCCAAAAAAATTGAACAAGAGCCTCTCTTTTATGTAGAGGTGCTTAGATGGTTTTCAGAGAGTCTGATTGCCATCCTATTAAATCATAACTACAATGTAACAGCAGATCTTGAAGAAGATGACCAATACAAATTACCATTACATATGGTCACCAAATATGACACTATAACATCAATACATTTAGTGTCAACTTGGCTCCAAAATATGTAAATGAGAAGACCAAGTAAATTGGGTTTTCATTTTCAAGCAGTAAAATGTGCTCCATAATTAGATGAGACCGCGTCTCAGATGACAATGAAATATTGACCATAAGCCCATGGAAATGGGAGGCATGCGGTTGACCCCGACTAAATAAGTAAGCAGAAGCCGAGCAACTTGGCCACCACCATGATTTTTGAGTCTAAGATGAAACTGGAGTATAATACATAGGCGAAATGCCTCTTGTTTGAAAAGCATCGATGCGTGTATCTAATTAGGTTATGAAGTAGCCATCCAGATCATCTACAAGATAGTCATAAGGTTCGCCAGTCCCATAATCAAACCCTTCACAAGATGGAACCATTGGAATTGGAGCAGCTTGAATGTTTCCCACATTCTTCAAATTGGCAGCCTTTGCTCTGCCTTTCACAGTTCGCTTGTTGTCCAAAGGAAATTCAGCAGTAAGTCTTCCCATTTGCTTTTGCAAATCAGAAACTGATACATTGGTTACCTTCCCTTTGGGGATCTTTTTCCCATCAACAAGCTTCAGTTCCAATCTGTACAAGGCACATGCATCGTACTTGTTGATCTCATACTCGTAAAGATGCCATTCCAGATTTTTCATCGGTTGTGGATCCATGTAGTAGGATCTTTTCAGCCCTCCAAATTCATTCATCATTTGCTTCCTTGACTCGTGCCAACCCCGTCCATTATAATCCGGCAATGACCTCTGCTTTCTGTTTCCACTTTCAAACGCTCTTCGAGGCTTATCAAAGAAAAGCCACTCCCTAATTGTTTCACCTTCAACAACTTTAAGATCAAAGAGCTCTGCAGAAGCATAAGCAAACCAACCGATATCAGATTTTACAAGTAAAGAAAATCCGGCAATGAGAATACAGAAATGCCACAGCACTCTTACCGGGTGCATTCCAGGGGGATTTTGCCGTGGCAGCACCCTCACACTCAGGAACACCAACATCTTTTCCATGTGCTTTTGCACCAAGAGCTTGAAAAAGCAAGTTATCCTTTAAGCCGATACCCATTGGCCGAACAACTGGAGGCCTCCCAGGATAACCTTCATTAGGTGCAAGAGAAGCATGATAGTCACTGCAGTAGTCTTGAGACTTCTGACACCAGTCTGACCCCATCGCAGGTCGGGGGCAATCCCAGAGTGCACATTTCGGCCCCAGGAAAGCAGAGGCTGGAGGACTAATATGAATAGGAGGCAAAGCATCCTCTAGGCAAAGATTTAGAGCATCAAATCCAGGTAAGTACTGCTGATCGTATTCTTGATGCAAATCAAAAGAATGGTAATCCAAATGGGTTGCAATGCCAAGATTGTTAATTCCCGCATTGTTAACCACTAAAGGCAAGCCTTTGCATTGATCAACCAAGTGGAAACCTTGCTCCTGCAGCACCTGAGTTGCATTGAAACCCTACGGCAAACAAATCGCTTAACAGGTAAGAACTAATTGATCACTTAACAGGCTAGCTACACTAGCAGAAAAAACAAAAAATTGCAAAAAGCCTAATCTTCACTTCTTAGAAATCAACCAAAAAAGGAGAGAAACAAGAAAAACTATCTGAAAAGAGGGTCAGGAGACTATTTACATAAATGAAAAACATGAAGTAGAGGATAATGGTTACGGGGAAAGATCAGAAAAGATTGGACCAACAACGGCATTAAGAGAGCTTCAAGCAAGATAACAGTCATGACAGACATCTATATAAGGGCTACAAGACCAGCAATATTACTTACGAGGGAATGTCGGGGCTTAGAGGGCCCACATATCTCCAAGATGAGCATTTTAAAAATATAAATGTTAAGATGGAAGTCCAGACATAAGAAAAAGGACAAGATTACAAAAGATCATATCCATTATCCGCTGGTCTGTAAGTGTGACGCTATGATGATTAAACATGCTACGGATGACGAGATAGACCAAAAATCATATGAAGGAATATTGCGTTAAAAGACCCACAATCGCTCGGAAGCAATGCAAAGTCACCTAAAAACCACAACGCAACACAAATATAGAAGGATTCATATAGGCAATACCAAGAAGTTGATATTAAGGATTAGTTATTAGTAGCAATGTAATTAAAAGCCATCGCCTTGTCGCTTAAAGCGATGAAGCGAAGCGAAGCAAGCTCAATATCAATATTATAATACACTGAACGCTGAAATTAGTTATGTAAATTGCAATTTGATTATTATGGTACTAAATACATATGAGTTTAGATGTTTTTAAAATTCATTAGTTGTGCGCTTTACTTCAAAAATGCATGCGCTTTACTTTTCACTTTTCACGTCAAACCCCAAGAAACATGTATCTTTGTGGGTTTTTCGCTTATAAAAACACTGATTGTAACACTTAAACTGCACCCGGTTTTGCCAACTCAGTGTAAGATAAGTTTGACATTTAGAATATCCCTAGCTTCTCAGTCTCCAAGTTGCCTTAAAAGACAAGTAAGTATTATAATGGAAAGAGCCAGAATAGCACGTAATGGATATAGAGGAATCATACAAGAGACCAACTAGTTTGGGTTGAAAAATAGTTGATTGATTGATATATATGAAGGAAAGGATTTCCAAATCCCAGATTAGCTGGATATATCATCGCGAAGCACAATGTGGCTGTAAGTGATATCCAGTGAGGTGGTGAAACTTCTTAGAGCAAAAGGGCATGGAAGAAAGATCCAGCTACTGCTGGGGAATTTTTTAACATATATATTAAGAGCAATCTGGAGAAGCATCCAAGAACCAAGTATTATCTCTCCCAGTCAATATATAAAGAATTTATCAATAGTGAAAGGTTACCCAAGGAGAAGCAGCAACCTCATAATTACCAAGTTCTGTACATCAAACATCAATCCACTCATCCTCAAACTAATCTACAAAAGATCACTCTTACACAAGATGATACCAATCAGAAGAGTCCAGCATATGCACAAGATGAAATTACTAAGTAATATGCATACCTCTTGAAAACCAGTAACACTAACTTTTTGAGCATCAGGCTCAGGCTTAGGCGCAGCTAATGGACTGGTCGCATCATCTTCTTCCTCACCAAGTAACAGTCTATAGATGTCTGATGATGAAACAAGGCTTCCTCCCTGCAAAGTCACCCATGAATGTAAAACCCGTAATTGTATCTCTATACCACCAATACTTGAAGACAGAATCCTACTTAACAATATCACGTTTACTTTAACGAATCAACCACAAACGAAGACAGGAAACATAAGTTCACACATAGCCTACTATACTCATAAACACTGTCTTTTGATTAACACAGTGAGACTGATCTGCACTCCCTATAAACCTAAATTTTCTATAACCATGTGCTCAAGCATGTGTCAAGACACAACATCATTAAAAACACAGCTTACATATAAGAAGACATGTCAACTTGCAAAAAGAATTTCTTGGCGATGCGCACACCTGTATAAGAGTAAAATCCAGTGAACTTCAAGTACTTTCTATTTTTGTTTTTATTTTGTATAACGTTGCCCTAAGATGAATTTAAATGAAGAAATACGGTCAGTGAGGATTCATATAGCCGACCCAACTCGTTTAGGACTGAGGCGTCGTTATTGTGGTTGTAATGTGCACATGATGGACAGGTACAAAGGTGTAAAAGCTCTTGGTGTGCTCGGAGCTAAAATGGACAAAAGTGTTTGTTCTTGCCTGCAAAGAAGAAGCCGGGGATGGCTCATTGAGCTCAGCTTTCCATTCGCGCAGCATCTGGTGGACTTGCTCTTCAAGCAACCCAACATCATAACTTCGGCTTTCTTTCCTTGCAGATTGTAGATTAGTTAAAACACCCTGCAGATCATCGACACGGTTCTTTGCCCTGTCCTTGAAGAGCTGGTGCGATGCAGACTTGCACGCACCCCTCTTCGAAACCTTCCTCATCCAATCAAACAGAACAATACCCTCAACTCCTCACCTGCAAAAAACAACAAGTAAATACTTAGCTCTAAACATCCTATTATGTTTCGCATTTTCTCTTAAAATACATATCCAGCACAAAACCTAAGCCAAAGCTAACAAACAAGATATTGCTACGAATTTCCTGTTAGAAAACCAACACCTCAAGCGGAAAAAAAAAAACCAAAATTCACAATCAACTGTAGGGGCGGATGTAGGCTTTAAGATATGGGTTCGGCAGAACCTAGTAGCTTCGGCCCAAATCCTGTATACTATGTGTTAAGAAATTTACTAAATATGCACATAAATCAAATTAAGAACCCAGTAACTAGCATTTGAGGTTGCTGTCCTAGAATCCAGAACCATGAAGTTCAAATCCTGGATCTGTCTCCGATCAAATGCAGTACTAAAATTCAAACATTAATTTCTTATAAGAACCCAATATTTCCCACAAGCACAAAGAGGAGCCCAATTATGACTATACCCCATCACAAACAAAAATTCCAAAAAAAGCCCAAAATCAGTAATGAACGAGTACCCAAGTAATAAAACCTTCAAAATGAGCAAGAAAACTCGATCCTACTAAACATCCCAGAAAGCTACACGATCTCGATGTGGAAAAACAACTTACACACCCCTAATTTTTGGAATTAAAAAGCAATTGCAGCATCAGATTCTACTCAAATTATGAATATATAAAGCACAAAAAGCAGAATAAAATGGAAATGGGTGTTACCCGGGGGGGTTAATACCTGCTAGCGGTTCGTGGGTGGAGAAGAAAATTCGGGGGGTCTAAGAAAAGCAGTGAATTCGGGGATCTAAGAAAAGCGCCGATTTCAATTTGAGCTACTGTAACGAAAACGAAAATAAACCAAAATCAAGGAAAACGAAAAAGCTTTTAATGTTTGTTTTGCTGAAAAAGAATGTTTTGTTTTGCCGGAAAGTTCCTGGAAAGTTTCGAAGGAATTTGCTGTATTTTTTAGTGTGCACGNTAATGAACGAGTACCCAAGTAATAAAACCTTCAAAATGAGCAAGAAAACTCGATCCTACTAAACATCCCAGAAAGCTACACGATCTCGATGTGGAAAAACAACTTACACACCCCTAATTTTTGGAATTAAAAAGCAATTGCAGCATCAGATTCTACTCAAATTATGAATATATAAAGCACAAAAAGCAGAATAAAATGGAAATGGGTGTTACCCGGGGGGGTTAATACCTGCTAGCGGTTCGTGGGTAGAGAAGAAACGAACGAATGTAAGTGAAGATAGAAAAGGGTAAAGAGAGTGAGACTGCTCTCCTCTTTCTATAATTTGTTGGAATTTTGATATGAGATTTGTGTGCGTTACAACTTACAACTAGAAGCAGAAGACTGGTTAGTGGTTTGTATCAAATACCTAAAGAATAAAAAACAACAATCTGATGACAATTCATGTGTACGCGGCAAAAGCATGAGAGGAGAGGATATATGCTTTGCTTTTTTGAATTTCCTTTTATATCCACCCTCCTCCTTTTTTAAAAAAAAAAGTTTAAACAAAAACATTTAAAGGAATATTTTCATTGAAGGATTTTAATATATATATATATATTTGATCTTGTTATACCGTATAATTTTCCTTTTCAAAAGATCCCTTGCGCCTTCTAACTCAACAACAACGACCCAATAAAATTCTATAAGTAAAGTTTGAAAAGAATAGAGTGTACGCATACCTTACCCTTACCCGGAGAGTTGAGAAGCAATTGCGCCTCCTAGCTCCCCTCATCTATTTAAATCAAATATTTGACGGCTACACACTATTAATTTAGATTCATGCCACTTAGACCTACTAAAAAAATAAGACACTTTCTAAAAATTAAATATGTATGTATTTTATTTTTAAGTTTCGAGCCCGAAACCTTTGATAACGTAAAAAAGATTCCAAGAATTTTACTGCACCCCTCAATTGTTTCCTCATCCTTATCACATGAATAGGTAACTATTTAATAACTCATGTCTTATACTAAAATTTGTATTGATACTATATATTTTGATGATAATTAGTTCTAAAAATAGTCTGATCTTTTCCTGTATAAAGGGAAACATAAGAATAGATTAGTTAAGGTATGGCAGGCAAAAGGACATTGCCCCCCCCCCCCCGGGGGACGCTGAAATAGAGTTACATTGACTAGGGGTAAGGACTGAGGACAAAAATCACAAAATTTGAATCTTGTTCCCAATATGAAGTTTGAGGTCTACAATATCATGGTAGATTCTTACTCCTGTTATTGGAATGTCAATTCCTTTCTTAACACAGATGACAACCTATTTGCCTAAAAAAAAAACGTACATACATTTACACCAAACTAATGAATGAATGATACATTTTTTCACATAGGTGTTTGTCACACCTTCTTTTTCGGCTACACCCCGCAAAAGAGCGTAAAAGGGAGTTTTTCCAATTAAAGGATAATCGAAACGGAATTTTGTTTAAAGATTCAGAGTCGCCACTTGGGAGATTCATGGTGTCCCAAGCCACCGGTTGAATCCCGAGTCGAGGAAAATATTCACTCTGTTTAACAGTCCGCGAACCAAAAACCCGGATAAGGAATTCTGTTAACCCGGGAGAAGGTGTTAGGCACTCCCGAGTTCCGTGGTTTTAGCACGGTCGCTCAACTATCGTATTCGACTTAATTATCTGATTTTTTATACAATTATGAACCTATGTGCAAATTTTAAATTTTAACCGCTTTTGTTATTATTTATTCAAAGAATTACAACGTCGTGAGAATGCATCTCGAATTGCGCCACATAAATGTACCCGCAATTTTCGATACGTTCCAACTTTGTTGAGATTTGGATCTAGGTCACATAAATGTGCACCCGAGTTTAGGAAGATAACATTATTAAATACATGCCTAAAGATACTAACGCGTTGTTATTTTGAGAAAAGTCGTAAAGTTCGCTATGCGGCCTGTCTCGAAATCTAAGCATTTGAAATAACCGTCCGTTGAGGGCCCCACGGTTTGTGTATTCTTGTTTGTCGAGGCTCGTCTCATTCATTATTTTTAAAAGGAATTTGCAACGTCATGGAAATGCATCTTGAACCACGTCACAATCAATGTACCCTGTGATTAGCGACACAATTTCGACTTCGTTGAGATTTGGATTTGGGTCACATAAATGTGCACCCGAGTTTAAGAAAGTAAATTATTAAAAGTACGCGCCTAACAGTGACTAACGCGTTATTACTTTGGGGGAAAAGGCCGTGAAATTCGCTAAGCGGCTGATCCCGAGTTCTAAGTAATTAATATATATACAATCGTGAGGGCCCCGCAATCGGTGAGTTTTACTAGGCGAGGCTCATCTCGCTTATTTTGAAAGGACAATCCTAAAGTGACTACATTTTTTCTATTCTTATGTATCTTTAAAAGAAAAAGAAATCCTACTCAATCAACTTAATTCACAAAGTCCGGTACAATAAGATTTGTTATAACTGGGGTTCAGGGGCGCATGAATTCAAATCATTCAACAGTTTTAGGCCTTTCTACAATCCATGTAAGGAATCAGTGCAAACGCCAGCTTGGGCCCAAATGTGAGCCCAATTAAACAACGGCCGAGGGCAGGGCCCCAAGTCAAAACATCAGTTACATGAATAAAATGCGAATATTATTCCTACTCATTCTATTGTTCGTTATTTACATACAGGAAGTGGCTTATATCATGCATCAAGTCCAATTGGGTTTAACACTACCTTTATTAAAGGTCAATCCGGGCAACCAGCACCCTTAATTTGAATTACATGTTCCTGCTTCAAAACTAGTGAGTCATTACCAATTGTTTTGAGAAATCTGTGATTACTTAACAGCAGAACAACACAATCAGAAATGCTAAAATCATAATTGATGCCTACGACTGGTGCTATCTAACAATGCTAGTCACATTTACAATCTTCTCTTCTTTTCAATTGTTGCAGTGATAGCTGAATTATCAAACGGTGTGTAAGCTAAATACTCAGAACTAATAGAACCTAATCTAACAACTATAGCTTCCGATTGGTTTTAACAGTCATTAAGCTCGTTCCTAACTTCACAGATGCCCACATGTAGTAGTATGAACTATGTTTTTTAACAACAAGAGAAACTCATACAACTTAATTTCAGTCCAATTATTATAGACTAACAGGGATCTATATCCTCAGTAGAATTTAAACACACAATTCAAAAGAGGTTAAATTAGAAACAAGCTTCGCTTCTTCATATAGCATTATTTTTGCACATTTTCAGCCTACAGTCATTTGAAGGATGCAATAGTGTACCTGGTATTGACAATACAAGAAGAGGAAGAAGAGGGTCAGCAACAGCAGTAGTAACCAACAGAAGTTGCAACAGCAGTGCAACAACAAAATCGGCAGCTATAAACCTCCCCAAGTATAGAGCCGAAGTAAAAGGAAGAAAGTTCTAGCTATTTCAGATCCTAAACGAGGCAATGAAAACAGTAGCTATTCTTTTTCAGGTCCCCAAGCTCTCCAAAAATTCTCTACCCCCTTTTCCAGTCCTAATATCCTTTCCTTATATCCAGACCTGCCCCATCTTTTTTAACTTAACTACCCGACCCCCTTCCCCACTAAAAATCTGCCTTTTTTCCACTTAAAACCCACTAAGGAAAGCTTTTCCTTATTTTCAGCCTCCATTCCCTCTTGTTCCCTATTACCTTATTAATTTAAGGACATTTAATACCCCACTAACAAGTCACTAACACTAAAATATTACCCTACTGTTCCATTCCCAAATCACCCCTGAAACCCCTTAATATTACTGCCCCTAATACAATTATTCATCTGTATTAAAACCTTTTAACTCTAAAATTTGTTCAAACTAACAATGATTTAAAACTAAATCTGGCTAACAGCTATAACCAATCCTTCTGACAACTAAATGATTAAGGTTGAGTTATAATTGAAACTAATGAACTGAATTTAAATCACAACACAGAACTCGACAGAATCATTAAAATTGAAACTGAAAATTGAATCAAAATGAACATGAATGCAGGTTCATTGTTAGCCTATTGACAATGCCCTGAAGCTAAGTGTCCACCGATCAAGCACACACAACAACCATTTGATGAACTTATTGGTCTATAAACAAGAACGAATTAATCGACGAAAACTAATTAACCGATTGCCTACAACAATTGATAACAATCAATCTGAAAATAGATAATCAGGCAATTTCAAGCGGCATTGACAAGAACAGGGGTTTATAATAAAACAACTAATCGACGAACTTATTCGAATCGATTACACAACCTATAATTATACACAACAAAGAACAGAAACAAATTCGACCAAATAAAAGGGTCTGAGGGAGAAGAACAGAACAATCGACAAAACTGAAAAATTAATATAACAATACTAAACACATAAACAGACATTTAAAACATCAGAAATAGAAAAAAAGAAAAAAAAGAAAAATACCTTAAATGGAACAAAGAACAGACGGACTTGAATCAACTCGTACTTGAACTTTTTTGAGGTCAAATGGACCTTAATCGAGTATTCTCAACTGAGAACACTTCGACTAAGGTCAGTTAAACACCCAAAACCTTTTAAACTTCGGACAGAAACCAGTTTTGGTTTTTCTAGGGTTTTTACGTTTCGATTTGGGGTTCGAGTGTTTCTAGCCAGATTCGAACCAAACCAACGGTGGTTTGGTGACGAGGGAGGTCATGGACATGTTCGGTATGAGTTTGGGACTGGTTGGGGTAGATCTAGGTCCTGCTCGAATCTTCGATTGAAGATTCGAGAAGTTGGAGGTTGATTCGAGGCAAGCAGTCAACAGATTCGTAACGAGGGTGGTCAGGGGGTGCCTTGGTGTGAGTTTGGTACTGGTTGGGGTGGGTTTCAAGTTTTGCTCGAATCTTCAATTGAAGATTCGAGAAGCTGTAGGTTGATTCGAGCAAAACGGGTGAGGGATTTGGATTGGGGGTGGTTAGGAGGTTCAGG